TATATTTTATTGGTTGTATAAAACATTATAATATTATTAAAATCAATTGAAATTAATTTTGGTACCTACCTAAATCACGTGAATTAATATAATTTTAATATTATTTGAAACATTGAAAAGGATTAGGTAGGTAATTGTGTGGAATGGTCAGTTGATAGCTAGGTATAACGTATATACATAAACTATTCTCTAACTATTATTACCTATGTATATTCTAAATTATTTTTTGAATCAATTGCAGTGGCGTGGACTCTGTTTCAGTTTAGTGTATGCGTTGAAATAGTAAGTTAATGGAATTGTGGGGGGCCATCCCCCCACACCCCCTAAACGCTGTTTTTTAAAATTTTACTTTAAACATACTAAGTTTTACGTATTCATTAACCTAACCTAGTACATAACAAAATAATATGTTTAATTTTTAAAAAGTAAATCACTTTTTAAAAATTAATGCAAGTGAAAACTTATAATAGACTGTCAACGATAGTGTATGCAATACTGATTCCACATACACGAGTGACGAATACACTACCACAAGTGTTCTATGTCTTGTTATTAATATTATCGATAAGAACTATAAATAACTGTCGCTGAAAGTCTGTACCCGTATGCAATCGCCAGCTACTTGCATTTTGCTTACATAATAAACAAGGTACTGAGGTACTAGCCACTAGATATAAGGAGTATAGCGCGTCGTGGCCGTGGTGTTCCGGATTAATCAATCCTAATGAATAATGAACTTGGAAAAAAATCCACAAAATATTATATTACGAAGCACTAAATTAGTACAATGAAATTTAAAACATTTTTATAAAAATATAAATATTATTAATATATAAAAAATATTTTTTCGTTTTGTGAAGTGTATGGCGTATGCTGTGCATAATACACAGCATACGCATACGCTACGCCACTGATCAATTAGTTTTATATTATATAATAATATTATAATTTATAATATATGAGACAGTAGATGATCATAGGTATATTAATAAATAATAGGTTAAGTTATATTATTAAGTCATTGATATGGCCAATAAATAATAGTATTAGTGCATTAGGTACTGTATTCCATATTATTGTCATTAGGTCAGGTTAGTTACCAATTATTTTCCCATTTACATATTATTATGATTTATGGCATCCGCCTTTCAGGTGTAAAATCTCCGAGCATTCAAAAAGTTGGTTTTATATTTATCCATTGGCCATTGCACATTTCACGCATAAGTGCATAATGTACATTTTCAGGGGGAAAATGCAGCACGAGGTCAGTTTAATTGCTAGTAATGCGCGGGCTGATTTATGAGCTGCAATATTATATAGTGTGTGTAATTTTAAAACATAAATTGCATACGACGTGGGATTTGCACTAAACGAATAACATGCAAAAGATATTAACTATTTAAATTTTAAATATCTAAGGACAAAGACAAACGTAACAGAAATTGTTTTCGATTTTTCAGCGGTAATTTTATATTTTTAGCCCATTTATTTTTTTTAAGTCATATTTTACCCAAATTAAAAGATTAATGTAAACACTCGTCACGAAAAAAATGCATTTTTTAAATTTAAGTGGAATAAGGTACTCAACTACATTAACACAATACGTAGAATAGTTTAATAGTTTACCATAGGTATACCATATATGACTGTCGCAAGTTCACTGAAGTCTATGATCAATGATAATTTATAAGAGTGCCAATCGGTTGTTGTTTTTAGAGTTTGCGTATCAATTTTAGATTTTAGAAATAAAACTAGAATTACAATATTAATTATTATTAGTGTTGTGCATATAACAATTTTATGTTCCTTTTCTTTCACAAAACACACTCGCACAAATAAGATAATGTGTACGTTCCCGCATACGTCTGAATTTAAATATATTCCACCTATCAATTATTAGTAGAAATGTATCATTGTGACAATAATTTCTTAGTTGGTACATAGTATAATATTTTCTGAAAAAATCATAAAATTGGCATGTTTTTGCGCTAATAAAATATAATAATGGTAAAACGGCAACAGACAGGCGCAAATGCCCATATTGCCCCCCTCCCCAAATAGCGCCAGTGATAGTGGCACTAGAGACATGCACGTGAACATAATCATTTTCAGTTGGGCCATTATGAAGTTGAAATAAAAAAAATCGTACTCTTTAAGAGGACGTCGCACCCGCATGTGTTGTCTCCGTCTTACACACATACGACATAGCAAATGTTCGTTGGCTAGTTTCAATAGGGTATTGTCAGTTTTTATATTAGAGTGAATTGACCTATTATCAAACTTTTAGGTAAAAACAGTATCTGTGTTCTCTCGTTGGTTTTAGTATTTTAATTTTTAAGTGAGTTATGGGTATGTAAAGTATTCACTATTCATATTCTAAAATGTTCATAAGACATTTCACTGTGTTAACAGAATAATTTTATTACATCGTAATTTAATGAAAAGTTATTGAAGAATTTATGTTGAATGAATAAGCGATTTACAATTTTGATAATAGTTATGCCGAAAAATTGAAATTCAATAAAACAAAAGTTGAAAAAACAATAAATATTATAATTATTTTAATGAAAAAAAAAGACATCGGACAAGACGAGGCGATGTGGGGGGGAGGGTACTTGATGGCGATGCACATGATGATGGTCACTGGTCACCTCTAAACCATTCTCACGACTAGAGTCGCGGGTGCGTTTACTGGACGCGAAGACGACAATGGCAGCAGATGAAGCCCGGCCACGACGGCTGCGTGAGCGAGGACGACAGTTGGCGACGAGCGGCCAATGCGCGATGTAGTGTGCTCGACGGTACTGCAAGCTCTGAAGACGACGCCGATCAAAGCTCGGGGAGAGCGACGAAGACTATAATATCGACCGGCGGGATCAGACCGCTGGGCAAAAAACGGAGAGAATCTGCGGACAGCACCGCAACGTTCCGCTGTCTTGATACTCTCCGTGGTTTTCGCCCTGGCATTCCGATGGCACTGCCGTGGAGTCACGCACCGTCGAACTCTGAAACGTTTTGTGTCCTTGAGCCCGGCGCTGCTGATGTCCGTGTTCCTGGCCACCCTGTAATTATAGTCAGCCGTCATTCACCCATTAGCAGGCCATACACGAAAGGTTTTCCCGTCAGTTTTGGAATATTGCGAGTTCTGCAGTCTTAGTCGCCGCTGCCACGAGTTGTCTTCGTGCAGCACTGCAGCAGTCGTCACTGGTACCGACGGAACAGATCCGATGTACCGCTAGCCTCCGTCGTCCCTCTCGGACAGAAGCAGCCGGGCGTTCACCGTGCGGCCAGAGGGTCTCGCTTGTCGGTGACCGGAGACAGTGTATCGGCGACTTACCGCCGATCACTCCAAAAGTGCTGTGTCACGTACCTAATCCTCGACCCCACTTCATCGCCTCGCCTTGTCCGCTGCCCTCGGCCAGAGGGCAAACTCTCGGATGGTTTCACTTCGAAAACAACTGCAGTAAGGCCATCGTTACACCTCTCCACGCAGCTGAGGTGATCCTCGCAGCCCTCCGTCTTCGCGGAGCTGAGTGTTTTGCCAGCGTTGCCCCCGGGTCCAGCCAGCCGATCAAGTCTGACTTGGTCAAAAATTAAAAGAAATTCAATAAAATGTTTCACATATTTTTTTTTCAACTACTACTTCTGACTTTAAAAACAACTTTTTTTTTAATCTCTATTTTTTTAAACGGCTTACCCAATTATCTAAAAATAATTGAATAGCAAGACGTCATGATATTATATACATGTATATTATATATATCCATGTATAAATTAACGTAATTATTTATTAACCTATTTATCATTTTATGTAGTTCACCATGTCCCAAAGATGCGCCCATGTCCTATTTATTTATGTGACTTATTCAGAATATCATACATTTAATCATTATATAATTTATATACATAATATATTTTAACTTAATTATTATCTGTTCTATGTATGAAATGGAAAACTGCATTCATGACTCTCAAACAGATTGATTATAATAATAATAATAATTAAAAATTATAAGGAACAATACAGTTGATTTTTTTAAGTCCAAAGAACTAAGAGTTTATAACTTACCTATGATATATACTAAAAAATCCTTTGGGCAATTTTTTGTAGATTATTTAGTTCCAACCAACTTTAATCAGTTGCCAACTTTATCAAAAAAAAATATTCATTATCTAGTAATTCGTTCATTTATACCAGTACACAAAAATAATTACGCCGGTATTTTTTAGTCTATACCGGTATACCAAATCGGTGTATATCGGTATAACAAGAAATTTTTAGCCTTTTAGGTACAAAATAATAAACTATGCATTTAGTAATTAATGAACCATAAATGTTATCATAATATTACATGAGAAGAGTTGTGATAAGTTTTGATATGCAAAAGAAAATGAGATGATTACACATTTATATCGGTACAACTGTTTTGACTCAGCTCGCGAGGAGCGAGGCACGTTTGAGGGACGTTTAATAAAAATGCAACCTGTTTGGACCAGGATTTTATGAACCCGTTTGGGCCAATTTTTATAGTACATTTTAAATAAAGTACTTCTAATTTCTTAATAATTATTAGAAAGCCCGCTTAGGCCGTATGCGCGCGCTTTTAGTTTACAATGGTTAAGCTTAAGTATCGGAGAGCAAAACGCGCCATCGTCGGAGTAATAAGATGTTCAGTTTAACTGTGTAAACTAATTTGTAATTTGTAGATTATGTACAGAACAAAATTATTTATAATTGCTAACTGACCAAAAACCCACAGTTATATTATACATCATACGTATAAATGTATAATAAAATAATAGATATCTCTTACAAAACGGCCTTATCGGCCGGTGCGATAATACAATTGGCAATATTGCGGTTATACATTATTATCAAAAATTCAAAACACTATGTTCTACGTATGCACAGTGGTGACATCGAGGCCCTGTTCCAATAGCTCATCAGTATAAGTATTTTCAATTTTAGTTTTTTCACTCTTAATATTCGTGTAGTTAAAATGGATATCCAAATCGAAAATGTTTTCCAAACAAAACGATGTAATACGTGTATAACTGTTGATAATTTTAAACTCAGTAAATGTAATATTTTAATGAATAGTAATATTCGTTTTCGGTGTACAAATCGTTCGTGCAACGTGACTATTATCGTTAATGATAAGTTAAATGAAATAATTGAAACCAAAAATGTTCCTCACAATCATCCTCCTCTAGAAGATAATTCGATCAAATCGAACATCATTAGAACAGCCGTAAAAAGAAAGGGAACAGAAGACCTGCACACCAAACCAAACAAAATTATTTTAAAAGAAATACGTCAAAGTGGATTTGATACAGATATTGAATATTCTAGTTTAAGGTTAGTGCGTAAATCATTATATTGTGCCCGTAAAAAATTATTTCCGACGTTACCACAAATATTAGAAGATATAATTGATATACTTTCGGCAGAAGGAGACAATATTACAAAATTTAACGAATTTAAATAGTTCATGGGCACAATATAAAAATGTTGAGATATCTCAATTGACGTATTTAAAGATTATTGGACAAATGTTTCAAGCGGCTTGAATTTAAAAACTTCATTAAAAAATTATATTTTCGTAATTCAGTCGACCCGTATTTAAAAATTAATAATTTGTACCTAATGTACCTATTTACTTTTTTAATATTATACACAATTAAATAATAATAATAAAAATAAGAAACAGCATTTTTAACCATGCCAAAAACAGTCCTAAGCCTGTTAAAAATAAAATGGGAAGGAAAATGCTGGTCCAAACAAGTGGTGTTTTAGAAAAATTGGTCCAAACGGGTCCTGCCCCTCCCTAGGTTGGAAAAATTATACCGGTTATTTTAAACCAGATCGCAAACAAATTTCTTTACTTTATACCGGTATTCATTTTGAGGGGAAATTTATACCGGTATGGACCAACGAATTTCTGGTATGACTTATTGAATGACAAAAAAAAACGTATATAATACGCTTTTTTCAGAATTAAATATTTCTTAGTGAAATCCGCATTTAACGATCTTTGTTATTCTTATATATTACCTACATTTGTAAAGTGTTTTTATTTTATTTTTAAATATTTAATCATGTTCTTTTATTGTTCTTTGATATTTGTGTATAATTTTAATTTTATTTTTCTTATAATTTATGTACGATTACTATCTTTGACGCTCCACTCCGCACCACAATTCAAGGCTTACATGAGTAGATATATTGTTTATCCCTGTATTTATTAACTCATTGTCCAGTGTGACTTTTTAAATACATCTTATCTTAAATAAAATATAGTTTTGAATTTTTGTAACCTTAGATAAATTATCATTATATTTAAAATAATAATAATCATACTCTAAACTGTACGATTTGTATACTAGAATTTAAAAAACCACAAGTTTTAAAAAAAAACTGAATTGATATAGATGATAATTTAGTATTAACTGCAGAATAACAAACTATAAACCTTAACTTTTGGGGGTGTCAACTTTGAACTCTGTTTGGCCTCTTAGCATTCCTCTAGTAGTCTAGTCGTAGCATCTACCTGTGAACTATAGGCACAATTCATATTATGAAATAGGTTTTCGTACAGTATTTAATTGTAAATATTGTATTAAGCAACATCCTCGGACTTCCTCGGAATACTTTATTCAATCAGTTTACAGTAGAGTCCATGGATACTAACGGATTTCAATACATAAGTATTGCGATGATGAACCTAAACACACGAATAATTTAAACAAAACGTAAACTGCAATAACTGAGCTGACACGCGGTTCACTTCGAATAAACAAATCTAAATTTAAATGATTGTGGACGTTCGCGGCGTCCGTGTGTCGAGTTTTCGGCGCTCAGCGTTACGACAACAATCCGATTTTAGCCGACAGATGGCGGATGGCGAATGTGCGATTTTCAGCATTTAAATTTTAAATCGCCTGACCATCTCCACCTACTGCGTCGCATCCAATTCCATCCACTCGTCTTCGGACAGTGTTATTTTAAATATATTTTTTCGTCCGTTTTTCGGCCGACCAAGACGTAGGAATTACATTTTGTTTTAATCCCGGATATTAGTGTTTTTGAAGTAGCTGGTGGTTAGGTATATCATATAATTCGTATAATATTTCACTTAATATTATACTATCGTTGTAGTAAGTTGTACTTTGACCGGAAACGCCGTTTTAATGATTGGATGTAATCAAGTATATCTGTATTGACTGTATGGCATGGTACTGTGATTTTTGTAATGTATTAGTTTGTATAGGTAATTTCCGCACCAAGGGCCAGTTGTACCATCTCCGATTAAAGTTAACCGAAGTTTAATTGGCCAAATTTGCCCGGTTATAAAATCTGTTATCAGCTGATTAAGCGTAATCGAAGTGTAACCGTAGGATAAACATGACATAAATTCAAATGTTAATAGTATTGTAATTAAATATTGCTATTATTGTATGATAAAAAAAAAAAACAAATTCCCACATGTACCTATGGTTATATTTTCGAAGAATCTTCATACGTCATTTAAAGGAATTAAAAAAATGTCACAATGATACCATCATCAATGAGTGGTATCGTCAACTCCTCGCCTCGGCGATGTCTTTTAGATAATGGCAAATGATTCATAGTAATAAAAACAATTCGCCCTACTCAATTGACGCGTATAGGCATAATAATATTATAATGTATAATTGTTAACTATAATTTGAAAATCGGCGCTCCGCAACAGTTTACACGTTTCGTTTTTTAAAGGCCGAAACACGGCTGTCTGTAAAAATATAGTTTTATGTACCTACACGACGATTTCAGCAACCCCTAAATATTTCGTATCGAGTCACGTCGCGATGTAACAAACACCCAACTCACGGGGAAAACCAAAAAAAAAAAACAACCGAAAAATAACGTAAAGTCGAAGCGAGAAGTACCCACGAGGAAAACCAAAAAAAAAAACCGAAAAATAACGTTAGCGAGAACTACCGCGTGAACGTCGTCGCCGGTCGTGGCGTCGCGGGAAAATCGGCGGAGGGTTCGGTGGTGTCCGCGCGCGACGGTACGCCGCCATGCTAACAGCGTCGGTCCGTGGTCGGCGCCGGTGCTGTGGTGTCGTCGTCGTTGCAGCGGTGCTCTTCGTTCGCGCGTACGTTTTTCCGCGGTTTTCGTTTAATGTTTTTTTTTTCGTCATTTTTAAAAATATTCCTCTCGTTCAAACCAATAACGACATCATCGTCGTATGAGATACATAATAATAATATTATTATATGTATCATACGAATGATATATTATTATTATGCACTCGAACTGCTGAACTTTCAGCCGATCGTCCGGCTTGCGATAAAACGTATTTAAATATAATATTTTCTTCATTTGGACGAGTGTCGCAGCCGCCACCAGCCGCAGTGTTCTCGTTAGAATATTTGTGCAGTTGTCACGGGTTCCGCGCGTCCTACACGTGGCGGCCGTTTAAGGACGTACAGGTAAAACACGTCCCGGTCATCGTAGAATATAGCAAAAAAAAAAAAAAGTAGTAGTAGAATAGAGGGTCAAACCGGCGTTTGCGAACATAAGTATAATATAATAGGTACTGTAATATTCATTAGTCATTATTATTATTGGTCTACACGAGATAAACTCGGTGCGTAGAGAAAATCCTAAGATTTTCTTTTATTACAATGACGACGTTATGATTGACGCCTTCAAAGATTATGTGGCCTAGTTATGTACAATGTATTAGCTAGTTATCGATAGGTCTAGGAAGTACACCTTATAATAAAATATAAATTCTCTATTTTAAGACTTAAATTGACTTTCATTTATTTTTGTATTGTGTTTTCAACTAACATATTTTTAGCAAAAAAAATAGTTTAGGATAGCGTTTCCCAAACTTTTCTCCCCTGGGCCCCTTAGAATATAGTAAAAATGATTGATAAAAATATCCTAACCTAACAATAATAAATAATAATAATACCCCTTCGGTATACATGCGGATATTTAGGGAATCCTGGTTCAGGAGATTATAAATTGGGTAAAAAAAAAAAAAAAATTTGAAAAAGATAAATTCAATTTATCCCACTCATGAAAATATAGATCATGATATCCTCTATGAAAACTCCAATCATGGTTTCCAAAATACCAATAACATTTAAAAATCTTGCAAAATTATCTAGTAGGTACGTACATATGCATTGTACCTACGCATAATTAACGATGACATAGGGTATACGATTAAAAATGTTGCTATTCTAGCCATATTTTTGGATTATTCTGTAAGAGCATCAAAATGCGTGGGACTTCTTGGCCATTATCTTAATTTATATTAATAGCGTTAAGTTCAAAATGTGTACCTACCTACCTAACTGTTTCCAATTACTTGTAATGGATATAACATTACAATAGTATGCCGTTAGTTACAATACGAGTATAATCGTTTTTAGTATCTGATGTGGCCTAAGTGAAATTATAAAACAAATTATCTACGTTACATGTAAAATTCTAGTTTACTAGTTTCAAATCAAATGCTGTTGAATAAAATACAATTATGTGAACTTTGCGTAAATTTATCATGTGACCCATGTTGTAGTAATGTAATGGTGCTGGCCGGAAGGTATTGTAATTTTAAGTGATTTTTATAGTTTTGTCATACGTAGATTTATTAGGTATAGAATACACTAGTGATTTATATCGTGAAAATACCAAAAAATAGTAAAAAAAGTACATCGTTGTAGAGTAGATATTGTTATTTATGGTCAGTGGTCACGTTGTAGTTATATTGGATGGAATGTTATGAGTAATAATTTTTTAGTCACACGTATCTGACAACTGTGGAGCAGCAATGTTATTTTTTTGAATAAAATGTCTATTTAATAATGAAAAAAAAATACATGGAGAATACTTTTGATTTAGATTAGGAAATTTTATTTTATTACTATCCAACCAATTGAGTTTTCACTTGTCCATAATTGTGGATGACCCGTCATGCATGGGAAAGCTATGTTTGAAGCACTCAATAAATTATTACACAATTTTTTTTTGTTTATTTTTCCAAGAATAGAATATAAAATTGACTAAAAATAAAAGATGATACTGTAAACCAACCAGCCCTGATTGAAAAAAATATGTAATTGGAAGGTTTCGCTTTAAATTAATTTTTTCTACAGGTTTATAATTATTATTTATATAAATCTATAAACAATAATGATAGACCATCGTAACCTCATTTTAATTATATCTATATTGAATCCTAGTGTCTATTGTCCTAGAGTGTTTTATTTCAAATTAAGGATTGTTGATACTCTCTAATTGATTTTTTAAAAATATGCATTATTAACCGATATTTCGACTAAAGTAAATTTTTTGCACTATGGACTTATGGTAAAGTAAATAAATATCGATGTATTTATATATAGGTAGACATCTGGAATGTGATACCTGATGTTTATTGCTTACTGTTTAGTGTCTAGTAGTTATATTGTATTACTTCATAATTTT